GATTTTCTCAGACCAGGGTCTGAGAATCGGTGTCTCCTGCATTGGCAGGTGGATTCTTTACCACTGAGCCACCAGGGAAGCCTCTATACCTTAATTTAAAAACACTTGATTGCTAAAAATGCTAGCCATCATCTGAGCCTTCAAGGGGTTGTATCTTTTTGCAATAGTAACATTATAGATTACTGGAACAAATATAATAAAACTGAAAAAGTTTGAAATATTTCAAGAATTACCAAAATGTGACACAGCAACGTGAACTGAGCAAATGCTGTTGGAAAAAATGTGCTAAAAGACTTGCTCAACCCAGGGTTGCAACAAACCTTCAATTTGTAACAACAGCAAAAAAAAGTAGTATCTGTGAAGTACAATAAAGCAAAGTGCAATAAACATGGTATGCCTGTAATAGATGTTAAATAAATATTTATTGAATGAAAAACATTAATTTCAAGTACTGAATAGTGTTACTAATGTTGCCAAATTTCTGACAGTTTTTCTCCTTCCCAGGTAAGGAGAACATCAGGATTGGGGGTGTTTTATTTTGGAGACATACTGTGATCTAGGGGTCATAGGTCTCCATGGCACTGACCTTCATCTTGTGGTCTTGTTTCATTCTCCAGTGTCCAGCCCTACATTCCTCTCCTCCTCTCAGCTCTGCTATCTCTAGTATCTGCTATCTTCAGCACTCACTGGGGTCTGCCTGTTTCTATCGGAGACGTAGCTGCAGGAGACAAATATGAACAGTCAGCTCTGGGCCAGGCTGCGGTTTCAGGATCCCTGTTCCCCAGCCCAGCCTGAAGGGCCCCTGATCCCTCTCAGATGCCCTTGACATCCCCTTAAATAACCTCAGCAAAGGCCTCAGATCCCTTATCTACTCTGCAAAGGTTCCTCCTGACAGGAAGACAGAGATTTCTGGGACCCCTGGGACGTGTTACCAGGCCTCTGCCGTCAGGTTTAGCGTCCTCTCCTGACTCACCATGAAAACCTGTCATGTTAACACTGTTCCTCCCCTGAGGTTAGCGGACAAAGCTGGACTCCTCAGGCCCTCGGCAGCATGGGTAGCACCTCGACTCCCTCAGCAGATACCCGACACCCATTTCTCCCACTGCGGGGTATCTCTGACTGGGCCTGCTTCCTCCCAGCTGCTGGGCACTGGGGGCTGCTACTCCCAGACTCCCCCTTTCTCCTTGTCTTCAGCCTCTAAAATCTTATATAACCTTCCTGGGATTAGCCCTCCTAGAGCACCCAGTGACCTTTCATCGCCAACTGCTCAACAGTCATCTCTAGCTCCAGAACTGTGTCCACGTGTCCTACAGGTTTCACTGAGCCTGCCTGGGGAGACTCAAGTGTTCACACCGAGCGGGAACACCCCCTGGAAAAGCCACCATGAGGGTCTTCACTAGTACGGACAGGGCCCTGCGTGGGCCTTCTGGTCCAGGAGCAGCCTCCCCTGTGGCCTAGCAAGGGTCTCTGCTGGGAGACAACACGTTACCCTGGACGGCGGTTTGTCAGCTTGGCCTCTTCTTTCCCACACAGCCCTGGTCCCCATCACAGCACCCCTGGATCTACCTATCACGGAAGACTGAAGACTGATCTGTGGCACTTTTCCACTATTGTTTCCTAATTTGTTTGTCTACTCTAAGGTGGTTTAGATGGCATTATTGGCAGCCTTCCTCTCCTCCCGTCCACCCCCGACCCAACCACCTCAGCCTCCACCGCCGCCCCCTCGCCCCACCCCGCAACCGCTCAGGGACTAGGCCAGCAGAGTCTTCTGCACAGAAGGCAGCTCGCATGAAAGTTCACCTCCTGAGCAGGAGCTGAGAGGCCACTCGAGAACCCAGGTGTGGATGTTAGCCATTTCTGCTTTTCCTGAGTTATTCCCAGCTCTGTGTCCTGGGCTGTGGACAAAGCGCATGTCCAAACTTGGGCCTGAGCGCCCCCTGGAGGCTTCGGGGATCAGTGCATGCCCACTCTGCAACCACAGCCCCAGAGATTTCCTCTCTGAAACCAGCTCCCCGCAGTTTTTCCCTTTCACTCTTCTCAGCCTCGCTGTGGGGCCCTAGTGCCATGTCCCCTCCCTCTGAAAATCTCCGCTGCCCCGAGCAGGTGTAGGGACCTTGGTCCCTTGCTTGATTTCTTGGGGAATTCAAGCCCAGAATTATCCAACCATCCCACTTACCATGTAGTCTTTCTTCCCAACCCTCCTGACCAGCAGCTCTCTGACTTCCCCCTAAGGGAGTGTGAATGTGTGCCTGCAAACATCTTCATGGACAGAGCTTCCTCTGGCGTCGCCAAGGGCTGCAGTTAAGCTGGACACTGCCCTACTTGTCCCTTGGACTGGCTGTGTGCAGCCTGCTCTGCCACTGAGTTCTCTCATCCCGTTTACTTCTCACTTCCATAAATGTTGTGTGTGCTGAGCACTCCAGGCAGCAGAGACGGGATTCTCTCTTCTCTGGACTTAGAAGAATTGGGATGCAGCTCCAGGTACCCAAAGTGCTCACTGCTGTCAACCAACTCCTTCAAGATTTTCCCTGCCTATAATGGGCCTTCCTGTATAGTCCATTCTTACTTCCCTCTGAATGTGTGTCTGTGTGTGTGCTCAGTCATATCCAACTTTTGCGACACAATGGACTGTAGCCCGCCAGTCTCCTCCATCCGTGGGATTTCCCAGGCAGGTATACTGGAGTGGGTTGCCATTTCCTCTTCCAGGGGATCTTCCCCACCAAGGGATAAAACCCAAGTCTCTTGCATTGGCTGGCAGCTTCTTTACCACTGAGCCACCTCTGGTCTCTCCCTATGAATGATTATAATAATTTGCTTGTATTTATTGGGCACAAGTATGTGCCCGGCATTGTGCTAAACACTTAATTTGATTATATCAAATCATACATGAGAGTTCCCTATGGTCCACAAGGTGTCCCTTTGATTTCTGAAAAGCCCCTATTGTCTTCCAGAGGTCCATGAACAGGCCCTCCCACCCGAGACCCAGGAATTATGCTCAGTTCAGTCTCTCAGTCATCTCTGACTCTTTGCAACCCCATGGACAACAGCATGCCAGGTTTCCCTGTCCATCACCAGCTCCAGGAGATTGCTCAAACTCATGTCCATCGAGTCGGTGATGCCATCCAATCATCTCATCCTCTGTCATCCTCTTCTACTCCTGCCTTCAATCTTTCCCAGTATCAGGGTCTTTTCCAGTGAGTCAGTTCTCCGCTCAGGTGGCCAAAGTTTTGGAACTTCAGCTTCAGCATCAGTCCTTCCAATGAATATTCAGTACTGATCTCCTTTAGGATGGACTGGTTTGATCTCCTAGGAGTCCAAAGAACTCTCAAGAGTCTTCTCTAACACCACAGTTCAAAAGCATCAATTCTTCAGCACTCAGCTTTCTTTATGGTCCAACTGTCATAACCGTATGTGACTACTGGAAAAACCATAACTTTGACTAGGTGAAACCTTGTCGGCAAAGTAATGCCTCTGCTTTTCAATACGCTGGGTTTGTCATAACTTTTCTTCCAAGGAGCAAGCGTCTTTTAATTTCATGGCTAAAGCAGTCACCATCTGCAGTGATTTTGGAGCCCAAGAAAATAGTCTGTCACTGTTTTCCATTGTTTCTCCATCTATTTGCCATGAAGTGATGGGACCGGATGCCATGATCTTAGTTTTCTGAATGTTGAGTTTTAAGCCAGCTTTTTCACTCTCCTCTTTGACTTTCATCAAGAGGCTCTTTAGTTCCTCTTCGCTTTCTGCCATAGGGTGGTGCTACACTAGCGCAAAGTCTTGAGCTTCCCCGTGACCTCTTCTACCCAACCTTCCCAGACCCATCACTCCCCAAACACTGCCGAGTGCACATTCTCTGCCAGTTACCATGCTGGGTGCAAAGGGCCCGGGAATGAATGAGGTGCTACCACTTACCAGTTAGGGGTGTGACAGCTCCAGATTCAGGACTGGGTTCTGCTCTAACTTAGCAATAAAGAGCAGCTTCAGCCTTTTGTAGAGGGGGAGAAATCATAGATCCTACTTCCCAAATCACTGAGGGCTGCTGGCAATTATCTTCGGAATTGGCAGCCAAACCTTGGCACAATAGCGCTGAGGAGGGGGTGCTAGGACCCTTGTTCCACTGTAGGGAAAGGGCAGCAGTCTTGGCTCGAAGAAAAGTCGGATGAAGCAGAGCTCAAAGTCTTCAGGGCTGAGTTTTCCAATGCCCCGAGTTTCCCATAGCCTCGGCTCGCCACAGGTCCCTAACCCAGGCCTGCGCCTCAAGGATTGCTGTCATCCTTACAACTGTTCTCCCCACAGCTGCTGGTTGTGTTTGGGTAAGGGTCCTTTCTCAGCCCTAGAGCAGAGAACCAAAGACCTTCCTACTTCTGCAGGAGATATGGGCCTGGGGACAGGCATTTAGAGGTGGCTGAGTTCCAGGGGCTCTGCCTCTCTGTTCTCTTCCCCTGAAGCTTCAAAACATCAGGGCACATGTGGAATCTAGGTCCCCTAAGCCAGCTGCTTGCCCCTCTTTTCATCAAGAGCTGCTTGTACCCTCATCTCCCCTTCCAAGCCCCATCCCACATGAAAGCAACAAAACCATCGTGGTGAACACATTTATTTAATATGGGGGGTGGGGTATTGCTGCCTCTGTCAGTGTGTATAGGGTGGTAGGGAGACAACCAGAGGGACTTTCGCCCTGGAGTAAGAGGCTGTTCTGGCCCCAGGCTGGGGGGTGGGGAGCAGACTGAGGAGACGGGGAGGTGTGTAAGGTGGGGCGGGGAGGGTGAAGCTCTGCACACATCCTTGGGACCATGGTCCAGGCCCACCCAGTCACCAAAGCAAGAACCGAATAAATAAAGTGCAACCGTGGGGGGTTGGGAGGGGGGAGAGGGAGGGCACCGGGCGCACCCACGCCCGCAACCCACATTCAGTGCTGCCAGGTCTGGCCCACCTCCCGGCCAGACCATCTTGTCCAATCACCCCTATGTCCGTCCCTCCATGAGCCAGGCAGGGCCCTTGTGCAGCTACTGGAGGTAGCGATAGGCCTTAAAGCAGTGGTTGCCGGCGTCAGCCACCACCACATGGCCATCCGAGGTCAGTGCCAGGCCCTGGGGGCCATACAGTGGCTCTGCAGATGTGTTGATATAGGACAGGAAGGAGCCAGAGCTGTCGAATACCTGGGGAGGGAGTGGAGATCAGAGGGAGAGGCGAGATCAGGCAGATGAGCGGCATCTGGGGAGGGGGCTGCACAGGGCCCAGCGGGAAACCTCCACCTCATGCCACCCCTGGGCCTTCCTCACCTGGATGCGGCTGTTGCCCCAGTCGGCCACGATGATGTTCCCATTGGAGTCCACGGCTACCCCCGTGGGAGCATTGAACTGCCCGTTGCCCTCGCCGTGGGAGCCAAACTTGAAGAGGAACTCCCCGTCGGCACTGTAAACCTGGCAGAGGAAAGGCCTGGGGGCTGGGGACCCGGCCTCAGGCAGGAGGCAGGGCCTCGGAGGGGGACGGGGTGAAGGCCCAGGGCTGAGGACCCCGGATCTGCAGCTGGAAACCAGTTTCTTCTCCCTAGGCTTCACATCCACGCATCCCACTGCCTACTGGACACCCCCGCTGACGTCCCTTGGGCAGCTCATCTTCCCCGGGAAGGCAGTTCATTCTCCTTCCCAGTGACTGGCAACACGCTGGAGGCCACAAGTCACTCTCAACTCCGCCTTCTCCTGGGTCTGACCTCCAGTGAATTACCATAAGCCGCTAAGTCTGTGTCAAATCTGTACCCTATGCATACACTGCCACTGCAATGGTGCTCAGCTGGATTACTGCAAAAAACTGATCTTTCTGCCTCCAATCTCTCCCCAGCCAGAGCGCTCTTCCTAAGACACACAAGATTGCATCACATTCCTGCCTGCAATCCTTCAGTGACTCCCCATAACTCTCAGGAAGAGCAAGCCCCTGCAGGGAGTGAGCAAGCCTCGTTTTTCACCTGGCACCACTCCCCCCTCTTCAAACCTCATCTGAACTACCTGAACTACATGGTAAGAGTTTCCACCTCCTCGGCTTCTCCTGTCCCCATCTTCTGGTTAATTCCCACTTGTGCTTTAGGTCATTTTCAGTCTCACCTTAAGTCACTTGCTCCTGCGATGCCCTCACCTAGTCTCCCTGCACTCCCGTAGCGCAGCATCTGTCACATCACATTACAATATCCTGGCACCTTTTTCTCAACCCCACTAGACCAAAATCAAGAAGAGAGGGACCATATTTGCTTTAACATAGTGATTATTCCCAGCTTTGAGCACAGGTCCTGGGACAATGCAGCTGCGTCACAAATGTTTATTGAGCAAAGGAATGATCTTGGGGGAGAAAGCAGGGAGGTGAGGGAGAGAGGGGTCTTGCGGAGGAGGAAAGGATGCTGGGATAGTGGTCATGGAGGGAGGGAGGACACTGACCTTCACTGAATGGTTATGGAAATCCGTCACTACAATCTCATTCTTGTTGTTCACAGCCACAAAATGGGGCCCTGAAAATACAAAGTGGGCTCTCTGGCAGTAAGCCAGGAGACTGAGCGAAGTGGGGAAGAACATCTGTGATGACAAAGCTGGGCTGTAAGGAGATGGTGGGGTCTCTGGGATGATGGTGCTAGGGTACAGTGCAGGGATGGGGTCCCCTAGGGCTAGAATATAGGAGAAGGGGTCTTTGGAACTGCAGCTTATAGGGGAGTTCTCTGGGGCTGGGGTTTCGGAAGTGAGGTCTCTAAATCCTCCTCCAATACCTGCAAAGTGGCGGTCAGTGGCCCCGCGGCCCCCAAAACGGCCCACCAGCTTGCCATTGGGCTGGAAGGTGAAGACGCAGCAGGACTTGTTGTCGACCACAATGATATGTCCGTTCCGGTCTACAGCCACTCCCTTGGGGCCCATGAGGCGGCCAGCTCCTATCTTGGTCTGGAGGAAGGGGTTACCCGTTAGGGGCTGCCTGGTGGGGAGAGCAGTCCCAGTCTGGCACCAAAACAGAACCTGAGGCTGAGGATGGATCGGCCGGTCCAGGCCCTGACCACCAGGAGGCACCAGAAAGGTCAGCGCGGCTGGCCACCAAGGCTGCAGAGTAGAGTGACCGTAGGCCTCTCACCTTGAACTTGCCCTCAGGGGAGAAGATGCTGACCCAACGGTTGTCATAGTCTGCCACGATAATGTCTCCATTGGTGTCCACGGCCACACCCGTGGGGCGCTGCAGCTGCCCGGGCGAGCGCCCTCGGACCCCGAAGCGGAACTTGAACTGGCCTTCATTGGAGAAAACCTGGAGCAGAGGAGCGAGGGAGGGAGAGGGCAGGAGGGGAGAGACTGTGGGCACAGAGGGAAGGGAGCAGGATCCTGAGGGAGGAGACCCCCCCATTCATTCATCACTCAGCCAGCACTTCCTGACACCCTGCTGGGGGTACGGGGCAGAATCAGACAGGGCAGACCTTAGGGGACATGCAGCAGAGGTGTGACTGGGATTGTGAGGATGTGAACGGGGTGAGGGGGGTCAGGAAAGGCTCCAAGAGCAGGGGCAATCTGAGTTAACAGCCTCATAAGGATGCCAAGAGATGAGCCAGAGTTGGCGAGTAAAGGAGGAGGAAGAAAGGTGTTTAAGCTGAGTCAACAGTATGTAAAAGGCAGAGTGCAATATGTGCAGTACTTGAGGCCAGCCTGGGCATTACTTGTCCAGTGTGGCTGGACTGCAATGGGCATTTCCGTAAAGAACAGAAGAAGGCTTTATTCTGGGTATGATGAGGAGTCACTGAAAAGTTCTGGGCAGGAGAATGACAAGATCTGACTCTGTGCTATAATATGAAATATATTTGGGATTGGTTTTTTTTTTTGGTCTTTGTCCCCAGTGCCTGGTACAGAGCTCTTCAAACCCTGAAAGAATTTCCTGATCAGTAGCAGTGTCTTTTGTCATTCACAAGGAGCCCCTTGTGAGTTTATGCTAATGAGGGACTTAGAGTGGGACCCCTAGATAGCTTCAGGATGAGGCTGATCACCAGAAAGACCATCTGATTAAAGGATCAGAACTTTCAGCTTTGCCCACCAACCTCTGGAGAGGAGAAGGGATGGGGAGCACACATTAAACTCTAAAAATCCTCTTGAACAACAAGATTCGATGAGCTTCCGGGTTGGTGCCAGGAAGGTGTGTTCTCCAGTTCCACAAGGACCAAAGCTCCTACACTAGGAGACCTCACCCTATGTACCTCTTTTCTGTCTGTTCACCTATATCTTTTATAATACCCTTTATACTAATAAAGGATCTGATAAACATAATTCATGTTTCTCTAAATTCTGTGAGCTGCTGTATCTAATTATTTGAACCCAAGGAATGGGATGTAGGAACTTCCAATTTACAGCTGGTGGGGCAGAGTATAGGTGACAACCTGAACTGCCGATTAGCCTCTGAAGAGGGCCATCTGATGGGGCTGAGCCTTTAAACTGTGGGGTGTGATGCCACCTTCAGGTAGTATCCGAATTGAGTTAAATTCATAGGATCGCTGGTCAGTGTCCACTGAGAACTGGAGAATTGCTTAGTAGTGCTGGAAAAAGCCCATGGGAGTTTTTTAAGAAAGAGCACACTAGTGATTTCCCTGACAGTCCAGTGGTTAAGATGCTGTGCTTCCACTGCAGGGGGTGAGAGTCTGATCCCTGACTGGAGAACTAAGATCTCATACACCACATTGGTATGGCCAAAAATTTATTTTAAAAGGAATCAAAAAAAAAAAAAAAGAGCACTCTGGCTGCAGGGAGATGTTGAGACTGGAAACTGCTGCCTAGACAGAGGTACTGCAGTGATCCAGGGGAGAACTAATGCTGGCTTGGACCAGGGCACTTGCTGGAGGGAAGTAGATGGACTCAAGAGACATAGAGGAAGACTCAACAGGACTTGGTAGCAGACAAGAAAGGGTTAGGTGAGGGTTGGGGGAAGGGACAAGGATTAGCCCCTCCAGGTTATGTGGCTGATAAAGTAATCTGGACAGAATAAACCTTTCAACCTCTCACCCCTGCTTCTACTCCCCCCACCTTAGCAACATGGTCAGGTGTCCCCATCCTTAAAACACTATTTTAATGCTCCTCTTCTCTATAGCTAAGCCTCTTGCTTATTCCTCACAGCCAAAACATCTCTCTCTGCCTAAGTCTCTGCTATAACTCTAGGGACACAAGGTAAATCAGAGCCAAGAGCAACCTTGCAGAACTCAAGTTATAGGCCTTGGCCTTGCTCTTGATCCAGACTTCTTCCCTCTTTAGTGGACCGAGGTCCCCAAGCCATTTTTCAGGCCTGCTGGGATGTTTGAATTGGTCCCACCTATGGACATCACTTCTTCCTGAGATGGACCTTCCATCATGCCCTCCCTGTTTGATCAGAACAGCCGCTGGGTTCTGCCCTGGTCCTGTGTTTGGACAGCACTCGCAGCACAAGAAGACGGGCACTATGGGCTGAAAAGCTGCTGCGAAAGAGGCAGAAAGGTACAGCCAGATCAGCAGTGAGGCAACACCTCTGCGTCCTTCCCTCCGAGCAGCTTCACTTCTATCTCAACACTGAGGCTTTACAGGGGGTCTTACTCTTCTTGTCCTGTCCTATCCTATCCCTTACAACTGGCCAACTCCGGTTCATCTTCCAGTTCTCAGAATTCCCAGGTCACTTCTTCAGAGAAGCTTTTAATGATCAGTTCTACTACCTGAATCAGTACATACATAAAAAGTTAGGTCTCCATGATACACACTTTTTATCTCTTTTCATAACAACTGTCATTTCTGTAACTAAATAACTGCTAAGTAGCCTTGTTCCCTTCTAAGGGTGTAAGCCCTAGGTGGGGCATGGACCATGTCTGTTTTGTTCGCTGCTGCATTGCAGCACTGATATAGCAACTGGCGCAGAGCAGACATTCAACAAATGAATGAATCCATCAGCTCACTCCCAGACCAGAACTGGACACCTCTCCTCGGGTACTGCAGTTGTCTCAAACTCACCACACATGAAAGTGTGAATTCATCAACTTATCCCCAGGCCTGCTCCTTAACACCAACATCACCTACCCAGGGCACCAAGCACCGCAATTCTTTATCCCTCCTTCTCCTTTGATATCTGATGGCTCATCAAAACCTGCCATATTTGCTTCCTTATCTCTAGAATCTACCAGTGCCCTAATTTGACCCTTAACATCTCTCTCTTATGCCACAGTAGCAGTAAGCAACTTCAGGACCTAAGTCTACTTGGGTGAGAGACTAAAAATAAAACAAGCAAGTGATTCTAGTAAAGAGTGAAAAGGGCCATGGCAAAAGGCTGAGGGAGCTCAGAGGACAATGTGATTAACATTCTGCCTGAAAGAAATGAGGGTGCTTTCACAAAAGAGCTGATAAAATTTCTGGACTTAGACAATTAATTACACAAGGAGGTAATACAGCCAAGTCAAACCCTTCATTCAAAAATCACAAAATGTTTTTTCTCTTCTGTCAGCTGATGCAGATTTAACACAAGGAGAAGATTTGTCTTGGCTGCCACCATAGCCAGCTCCAAAGGAGGAAAAGTTCACAAGGACTCCAATCATCATGAACCAAGGTGGGGGGGGGGGGTGGTCACAGTTCATCTGGAAGCCTGGCCCGTACCAGACCTGAGGACCCCAGAGTGAAAGCAGCAGAAACCCAGCTTTAGAACTGAAAGCCAGGCTCCTAGCAGCTATGAGGTGGCTGGCGGGGGGGGCGGGGAGGGCAGGGGCCAAGAGGATTGCTGCCGAGGAAGTATTTGGAGTGAGGAGGGGGCTGCACTAGGCCCTCTCTCTTAAGTTCCCACCTGGAAACAATGAACAAGCACAGTCCCTTGTTGGGGAGACAAAGTGACATGTGTGTCCACCCCAGGAGAAGTTTCCCCAACCTCAACTTTTGTGCCAAAAAGCACCCTTGGCATATGGAGGAGGAACCGAGTTGGAGGGTGGAGGGTACGACAGCAGGCTTCATCCACCTGTTCTACTCCACGCTATGCAGGATGGACCTAAATGCTTTCCTGTGCCGACCTGAGCCTCTCTCCTTTCCTCTGCGCTTAGCAACAGGCTGGGAATAAAGGCAGGCTAGACAGGCTGGGGAATACACTCATGCAAGAGTCCCTGGCTCCTTCAGTCTGCTAGGAGGAAAGCAAGGGCCAGGTGGAACTGAGCCTCAGGTGACAGACCTTTGGGAGAGCCGCATCTGTGACGGGGTACTCAGGCAGAGGGTCGGGAAGAAGTTTAAACGCACAGGTGTGAAGTAAGGCTCAAGGAAAAGTTTTGCTGTCTGACAACATGTTTCCAAGAACTGAAAGTTTATAGTAATTAGAAGCAAGCCTGTGCAGTATCAAAACCAAAATCCCATAGCTTCTGCTCCCAAACCAGTTACAGCGTGACCTCAGATACTTCACTCCTACTATAGTCTCCCTGCAGCCCCTCTCTCCAGCTCCCTGAACAGCCTCCTCCAGCACCTTCCCACCTCCTGGCTTTTGTTCACAGCCCCCACCTGGACAATGATATTGTTAACAGCAGCTAACGTTAGAAGGTTCACTCAGTGTCAAGCACAGTACATTATGTCAGGCAGCCCTCTGAGGTATTCTTTTCCTAATTTTACACATGAGTTAACCAAAGCTCAGAGGGGTCACATGACTTGTCAGTAAGTGGCAGAACTAGGATTCAAGCCCAGGTGTCTGGTTTCAGACCTTGAGCTTTGAACTGCACTGCTGCGTCTAGCACGCTGGTGATTGCCACCAGGCTCTGCCCACTCCTAGGCTCACTACAAGGAATAGAGAGAGAAAACCACATTTTCTAGCTTTCTGGAGCCCAGAGTGCAGCAGAGACCAAGTCCCCTTCAGTGGTGGATGCTCCACCTAGGTGTGTGAGGCACTAGGAGGGCCAGGGGCAGGACCACCTATGAAATGCATTGTGTTCTAGCCACTGGAAGGCACCGCTTTCACAAGTTACCCTTGTTTGACCGTCTAGTCAACTGGACATTTGCAGAGACTAGCATAGATGACACACAGGCATGTTGAGATAGTAGGGGAAGTGCGGAGCCTGCATCCTGACCCCACGGTGGTGGAAAGGGCAGGATGTAAGCCAGCCAAGTAGAGACTCAAGGGGAGGCAGAGGGGAAGGAAGAATGAGCCAGATCTTTGGGGTCCAGGAGCTGGTCTGGCCTGACCACAGCCTGGCAGGTAGAGGCTGCCAGCTCAGTAAACCCTGGTGCCTAACTGTAAAGTTGCTGGTTACTGTTGTGGTCAGTGAGGTTGGGGTGGCAAGTGGCTGGGTGAGGGGTGATGCTATGATTCATTGTTCTTTAAGGAAAGGTACTATCTGCAGGATTTCATCTTTCCTTCTGTAGATACTGTTTCTTTTTTGAGTAGGCCATAGCCTGAGAACCTCTATTTTGGTGTTACGGAAGAGCTTACCTGGATACATTGGTTGTTGCTGTCTGCTACCACTATGCGGCCGCTGCTGGCTGCGGACACACCCTGTAAATTGGTGAATTCACCCTTCTCCCTTCCACGACTCCCTGTGGGGAACAGATGGAATGGAAACAAACAGACGAAAGTTCTCACTGAGGTGATTTGGAGCCTGTGGCCCCACCCACCCCGCCCCGCCCCGCCCCTTCTGGCTCAGCCCTCCGCCCCGCTGTACCAACTCGGAAGACTAGCTCATCCTCAATGGGGTTGTCCTTTCGTTTGCCGCCCGTGCTGTACATGGAGCTGGGCCTTCGCACAGCCTTCTGGCGCACGTGGCTGCCCGGGCCGCCAGGAGACTTGACGCGGCGCTTGACGTCGTCCGGGGAAGGTGGCAGGTCCCCAGGGCGCAGGGCACGCACGCGGAAGGGGCTACCGCGCACCGGCTGTCCATAGAGCAGCACCGAGAGGAGCAGCTCGCCTTCCGTACGCGCCGTGTACACCAGCTCGTACGTGCCATTCTTGTGGTCCACCACGGGCACCGGCAGACGCGTGCCATCCGGGCCCGTGATCTCCGCACGCAGCTCGGCGCTGCCTGTGCGCACCAGCCGCCCATCCTTGTCTTTGGTAGTGACGGTGAGCGAGGCGGGCTGGCCCACCAGCGCCTGGCGCAAGCCCTCGCCCGTGGCCACCGTCTCGTGGGCAGTGGCACTGGTAGTGAGCAGTGCGCCCAGATTGAGCACCGATCTCCGCAGCCCATCGACCTCGAGGACTAGTTCCAGCTGCGCGTTCTCGTGGGGCCGCTCCGGGAAGGCCTGCGCCGCCAAAGCCGCCAGCCGCTCTCGCATGTGCTTGCGCACCAGCAGCACCTCCGGGGCCGAGCCCAGGCGCAGTGCCTGCTCCGCGAAGCTGCAGCTGCTGCCGATGTGTTCCTGACCCTGACGCAGTGTGTCTAGCTGGGTCTGCAACACCTGAGGAGGAGTTCCGGGAGGTTTGGGTGAGCAGACTGGTGTGGTGGGGGGACGGCTAGGGAGGGGATGTTTCTTGTGATTCCTGATGAACTTGTACTATGGCATGAAACAAATACCAGAGGGTGAGTATGGACAAAGGACAGATGCCCGCAGCACCTACTGACCAAGTGAGGAGGTGGCAAGCAGAGGCCAGGGGAAGGTGTGCACAGGTGTGGAAAGGCGGGGAAGGCAGCAGGCCGTCTCAGGATGGACGGAGGTGGGAAACGGTGAGCAGACGCACCTTCTGCTTGGCCCCACAGATGGCCTCCAGGTCGCTGACCAGAGCCTGCTTGCGCTGCTGCAACGCTTGCTCCAGGTCCTCGAAGGCTGAGCTGATCTGGGCCAGGGCCTCTGCCTTGCGCTCCTGCAGCTGCTGGCTGATGCCCCCGACTAAGGCGATAGCTGCGGACAGCTGTGGCAGTCTGGGGAGGGGGAACATCTCATACTGGGGCTGCTTGAGGGTGCCCGCGCCAACCCATTCCTTCTCCCTGGGGACCGTACCGCTGTCCTGGGCGAATTCCCCTCCCTGCCACCTCCCTGTATCTCCACCCTCCCCAGGGTCTCTCTCTGCCCCTGTGAAAGTACCACCCCAGATGGCTCCACCAGCCCGCTTCCCGCCAGGCGCCTACCGGCCGCGCACCGCCTCGAGCTGGCGCTGCAGGGCCGCCTTGTGCTGCTCCACCACGTCGCGCAGCAGCACCGTGCCATGCTCCCGGTGCTCGCCGGCGCGGCACTCCCCGCACATGGCTGTCTCACAGGCCTCACAGTAAAACTCCATCGTCTGGCGGCATAAGGACTCCAGTCAGGCATCCACTAGACACCAGACTTCTTTGTCCCCTCCCCTCCCCCACCTGCCCTCCTTGCCTCTCACCTTCCAGCTGCATCCCCTTACCTGGACCACTTTACCCAGAGAAACACCCTCTCACCCACAGCCTCTCAGCCCCCTCCCCCGACCTCTCCTGCCCCTCCACCCCAAGTCCTGGCCTCACTGGGCCTGCTTGGGCCCACCTTGCCTTCATGGTTGGGGCAGGAGAGGGGGCGGCCAGCCACTGCGCTGAGGGGGTGGGGGTCCTCGGGGTCGTGGGCCCCATCAGGTGCCTGCTGCATGGCCTCCATGAGGCTGCTGATGAAGAAGTTGTTCTGCAACGCGGAGACGCCCTGCTCGGGGAGGATGGATGTCTGCCGGCACACGGGACAGGACAGTGTCAGGCTCTGGGCAGGGATGTAGTTCTGGAGGCATCTGGCCAGGGAGGAGGGGGCGTCAGAGGAATGAAGGGCTGAGGTGGTGTCCTCACACCCCTCCTCTCACCTGCTATGGGTGCCAGTCCCTCTCCTCACAGGTGTGCTTTACATTCATTTGGAAACCGCTCTGGTTGGCACACGCATCCTGTCCTGCCAGCAGGGCTAAGAGGCCTCCTCTCTCACAACTGAGTGGGAACACACCCCTGACGTCTCTCAGAAGGGCAGACTATCCGCATTCCTCACAGTGTGCACAAACACAGGCTCACCTTTCACAGGTGTTTACAAACCCTTCTCACAGAAAATGTGCAACTGCCTGTCCCCACCCCCCTGCCATTAATTCATTAAACATTTATTGACTGCCTACTCTTGCCAAATTTGTGCCAAGCTCTGGGAATACAAAGATAAAGCACAGTGCCTACCTCTAAAATACTTCCAGTTTATAGAGAAAAAAAAAAGTAACAAAATTAGAGTTTGTAGTAGTAAATAGTGTGACGATTAAAAGCATGGGTCCTGAAGTTAGGCTGCCTGGATTCAATTCCCAGGTCCATCACCCTATTATGCTATGTGACCCCTGACAAGTTACTTAACTTTTTATGTACTAAGGACCCCTCCTTTGTAAGATGGAGACTGGACAGGCTTCACAAAGTATGGAGGATTAAATGTAAAGTGCTGACAATGCCTGACTCACAGAAAGTGCTATATATTGTAGACTATTAGTATTTGTTGTTGTTCAGTCACTAAGTCGTGCCCGACTCTTTGTGTCCCCATTGACTGTATCACACCAGGCTTCTCTGTCCTCCATTATCTCCCAGAGTTTGCTCAAATTCATGTACAGGTATTAGTATTACTGATCATTAATATAAGGCACACAGGGACTTCCCTGGTGGTCCAGTGGTTAATCCCCCTCACTGCAGGGAGTCAGGGTTCAATCCCTAGTAAGGGAACTAAGACCCCATATACTGCAGCTAAACAGGGGGACTACAGCTACTGAACCTGCATGCTCTAAAGCCTGCACGCCACAACTGGAGAAGCCCGTGTGCCAAAGACCCAGCACAGTCAAAACAAATAAATAAACATAAGGAACACAGAAGATGTAGTAATAAAGAAATTCACAGAAGGGGCATCTGGCCAAGGGTGGGTAGAGCGGGTAGCCAGGAAGGGCAGAAGTGGAGGTGACATATGCAAAATCTTCAGGGACAAATAATTGTTCGTCTGACCAGAGGAAGCAAGGAGGAGGAAGCGGGGTCCAGATACAGAAGGTGACCAGAAACAGCGTAGTGTGACTAGGACATTATAAGCAGTTCGAGGTGGCTGGAGAGGATTCCAAGGCAAGGAATAGTAAGGGAAGTCTGGAGAGAGGGGCAGAGGCCAGCTCACGGAGGGCTCCTGGGCCACACCAAGGAGCTTAGAAGTTATCCCAACAGCAGGAGGGAGTTGCAGGAGCATGACCGAGTCAGGTTTACACTTTATCAAGCTCCTCTTCACTCTCTCCGTGTGGAAGGTAACTGTGAATATGATGAGACAGCAGACAAGGGGTGGTAGCATCTTCCTCCTTAGCACCCAGTTACCATTTATTAGGTGCAATGTGCCACGTACGGTACACTTGATGCTTGTTAACAGACTCAGAAAGGTTAAGTGCTCCAAGATAACAAAGTGAGTGAACACGAGAGGCAGATCCAAGGTAATGCACGTGCTTATGCAAGATACTCTTGTAATAGTCTAGGCAAGAGGTGAGAAAGACCTGGATTTAGGCACGAGCAATGTAGACCAAAGGACAACAGAGGATGAGATGGTTGGATGACATCACCAACTCAATGGACGTGAGTTTGAGCAAGCTCCGGGAGATGGTGAAGGACAGAAAGCCTGGTATGCTGCAGTCCATGGGGTCCCAAAGAGTCCGACATGACTGAGCAACAGAACAGTAACAATGTAGACCAAAATGGAACAAATTTGAGAAGTGTTTAAGAAGTGCAGCCAGTGGGAGGTGTTGTCTGATTAGATATGGGGAGTGAAAGATGAGCCTGGGTTGACTCCCAGGATCCTAGCTTAGATGACTAAGTGAATGGTGGTGCCATTCACGATGAGAAACACAGAAAGAGGCCTAGTTTACAGGGAGGTTCAGCCTTGGCCTGATTGAGTTTACTGTAACCCTGGGACATGCAGGCAGAGGGGATCCGTAGACAGCTGGGGAGAAGGCAGGTTAGAGAGAGAAGGAGGCCACCCACCTTCAGATGGCTTCTGTAGCCATGGCAGAGGATGTGATCACCAAGAAGGGGATTCCTGTGCCAAGAGGAGGACCCAGCAAATACTGAATGAGGAGAGCAAAGAGGAACAGGCAGAGAAATAGAAGGAAAGATGGTGTCAGGGCAGCCAAGTGAGAGGAGCAATTCCAGAAGCAGCGAATGAGTAGTCACCAGTGTCAAAAGCAGCTGAGTCAGGGAAGGCAAGGATGGGAAAATGTTGCCAACTGAAGAGTGAATGAGAGGTTGGAAGTTTGAGTAAAAAGGAGGTTGAGGGATTGGATGGCACCTGGGAAGGACAGAGGGACAAAGGAGAGTTCTTATCTGTAATGGGGAGCTTGAGCATGTTTATAAATGCTCAAAGCCCGCAGAAGAGGGAGGGAAGACTAGAAGACATGGGACAAGGTCTGGGGATGGGAGAGTGGCTTAGGTTGGCTTGAAGAGGAGGAGTGGATGGATGGAGAAGGGGGAAATGGAGGTGGCTGTACTTGAGCACCGGGGGCCTAAATTAGGATGCCTAACTTGCCTCGGGTAAGGTTAACGGCTGAAAACAAATGAGTGGGCGAAGGCGGGTCCAGGAGGACAAGGAGGCTAGGATTCAGCACTGAAGGGAGGAGGGGAGGGGTCTTACTAGAAACAGGCTTATAGCAGCTGTGTTTGCTTGTGTGCTAAGTCACTTTAGTCATGTCCAACTGTTTGAGACTCTATGGACCATAGCCTGCTGGGCTCCTCTGTCCATAGAATTCTCCAGGCAAGAATGTTGGAGTGAGTTGCAGTACCCTCCTCCAGGGCATCTTCCTGACCCAGGGATTGAACCTGTATCTTTTAAGTCTCCTACATTGGCAGGCAGTCTCTTTACCACTAGAGCCACCATGTTTGGAGACTGCCAATTTGTGGAGGGAAGATTTAACTGGTGCAAAGTTTCCCATATCCTCAATCTCCCCTCTTAATGTTGTCTACACCTCTTGATCTGAATTAATTATCTTATTTATTTAACAAACACTATGTGCCAGGCACAGTTCTAAGTGCTTCACAAATATTAACTTATTTGTGACATAGCTTCCCCTTCAGTCTTCTCAAGTTGAGGGTGGTTTTGGTCTCATACTCCACATTCCTCGGGGCCAGAAGGTGGGGTTGAGTCCTCCCCACCCCCAAATGGAACATTTCTAAATTCTCCTTCTTCAGCTCCTTGGAAGCTCAGGCCTTCTGTCTACAACACCCCACCTTGCTGTTGTCTCTGCTGACTTAATGGTTGCTTCCCCATTGGCTAAAGTCTTTCTTCTGGCTCACTCTCTTCTTCTATTACTCCCCTCCCACCCCAACACACACTCCGGCCCTTATTCTCAATGACTCTGACATCCACAGAGTAACTCACCCACCATCAAGATTTCTTAGTTCCAGGGACTTCCCTGGTGGTCCAGCAGTTATGACTATGCATTCCCAATGTAGGAAGCATGAGTTCAATCCCTGGTCAGAGAACTAAGATCACTTATTTATGCATGATGTGAGAAACAAACAAAAAAAAAAAAGATTTCTTAGTTCCTAAGCCTCTTTACCCCCTTACTCCCAGGATTTTTTCCTCTATTTAACCTCAGCTATCTACTCCCATGTTCCCAGTACCACCTATGTCTCATCAACTCTGAAGTCTGCATTTCAACCATTCCATTTAGTTTCCCCTGTAGCTCTCTCCCAAGCTCGCTGAATCTGGGGTTTACCCTGCAGAATACCTTTGAACTCATCAAGAACCCCATCCTATGTGATGCTCATGCTTGGCTTACGATGGCTTCTTAACTGGATTCCTGTTTCCATTCTTGCTTCTGTGGAACCCACTCTTCCACAGCAGCCAGAATGAGCTTTGAAAAACCCAATTTATGTCACATTATTTCCCTGCTAAAGAAAATCCTCCAGGGTTTCCCACTGCCTTTAGAACAAACTTCAAACACTTTCCTAAAACTGCCAAGCTCCCCCATGAACTGTTCTGACTCTTCCCTACCTCACTTCACCCCACTCATGCATTCTCCTCCGGTCTCTGAACATGCCCCAATTACTCCTTCCTTAAGGCTTTTGGATGAAACAGTGCAAAGATGATCCACATGCCTGGAACAACCTGCACATGCCTGTTTCCTGCTCATCCTCAGGTCTCGGATCAAATGTCACTTCCTTGGGAAAACCTTCCCTGATGACTCTATGTAGACTAGCCCCTGGCCCAACCACCTTCACCTGCTCCCTATTTATTTCATGAAAAACAGTCCAAACTGTGACTCTCCTGTTTGATTATTTGCTTGCCTACTATCCATCACTTCTCACTAGAGCATAAGTCTTTGAGAGCAGGGACCAAGGGAAAAGTGAATGAGTGATAGTTGGGAGAGAAGGCTCTGCAGTCAAACCTGGATTCAGACCTTGACTATTTAACTTGCTGCATAGCCTTGGAAATATTTTTTAATTACTTAAGGACTCTGAACCCTAGCTTCCTCTTCTCTAAAAATGGGGATAATAAAGTATCTGTTGAAAGGATTAAGTAAATCAATACATGTAAATCACTTAGCCAGTCCCTGGCAAATAGTAAGCAATCAATACATGGTAGCTATTGTTATAAATTCTCAGGCACTGATCTTCTTCCAGGAGTGCTCAGTGATCTGGGTGTAGGAGAAGGTGTGGAGACATCTAATTACAGCTCAGATCCAGGATTAGGCTTCTGCCACATGGGTTTGGAAGAGGACAAAGGTGTATGGTCTGCATAGGATTCAGAATGGGTAGAAAAGACAGGGAGTCCAGGAAGGAGTGGGTGATTGGGAGAAGAGGGAGCTGTCGAAGGCATTAGATAGCTACATCCAGTCAAAGCTGGTATACTGAAAGTGGAGTGATGGGAGCCAAGAGTGGGATGCTGGAGCTTGTGGCCACAGAAGTGGCATTATTTTCGGTGATGGCAAGATCCAGGGTGTCTTTGGGAGGGTGTCTGACTGAAGTGGTATGGAGGGCATCCCTGGAGAAACAGTCAAGAACTAAGGGGCATAGGTAGGTAGTGAAGTCAGGCAGGCTGATATAAGAACAGACAGGAAGGCTGAGACTGTTTCCAGCTGATGAAGAAGAGACAGAGCAGTAGAGCTGGAACCTGAAAGAGAAGGACTGAAAGGGAAGAGCATCCCTGGGGCAGAGCCAGGTTCAGTGAAGGGGTTGGGAGGGCGGGGTTGGGTGGAGACAAGACCCAGGGATCTGGTAACTTACCGCAGAGCAATAAGGGATGCAGCTGGAGAAAGAATACTGTCAAAATACAGATGTGATCATGCATAAAACCCTTCAAAGGCTTCACGTGGCTCTCAGGGTAAGAACAAAATTCCCCAAGAGGTCCGCAAAGCCCCTCTCGGTCTGAGCTCCAGCTCTGTCCCAGGCCACTCTCAACTGCACTCGCTATGCTCCAGTCTCGCCGGGCTTCCTCTAGAGCCTCTCATCCGATGCAGCTCCTCATGCCACGTGGCCTCCCCGTGTTCTGCCTTCTGCCTGGAAGGCTCTGACCACTCCCTTCACTCAGTTAACTCCCATCCAGCCTCTGGATCCGACCTCAGGGAAGCCTTTTCGATTCTCTAAATTCTAACAGATCCCATCTTAGCACTTTATTTGCAGCACTCATTCAGGGTGCAGTATTACATTTATCTGTATCAATATTACATTTATCTGCAATATTACATTTATCTCTGGTCCGGCTGTATGATGATTTGATTACTATCTTCCTCCTTCACTATACTGTCAGCCCTTTAGAGCAAGGATCATATCTGTTTTTGCTTATCGCTGCTTGCCCAGCACCCGGGACAGGTCTGGTTGTAGTAGTTGCTTGATAAATAAATATTTGTTGAGTGAATGAATAATAGACAGAAGCTCAGAGGCTGGGAGGGGTTGCCTTTCACTCAGTTTCTCAGGATGACTATGAGGATGGGCAGGGAGGATAAACCTAGCTTTGCACATCCTCCCACTGGTCAGAAATTTCTGGTGCCAGAGCTGGTTGAGAGCCTCAGCTCTGTTTGATTTCTCTAGTGATGTCGAAGGCTGCCTCAGGGTTTGGGCAGGGGCACAGAAGGCCCTGTTCTAGGCAGGAGGCGTGGCCCAGTGTTAGGAAACCACTGGTCCTCTCGCAGGCCCAAACCTTCATCTCCTGTAGGTTGGGGTTCATCTGCTCCCCTCCACGTGTGTACACATCTCCCTCACCTCTTACAGGTTTATACACACCACTCCCTTCTCCAGAGGGCATGCAAGGTCCTCATCCCTCCCCAGTACACATCCCCTCACCTTTCACAAAAGGTGTGCAGACAGGGCAGAACCTTGGGGCACCGGTACCGATCCAGGCAGATGCTGCACACCAGGAACTGCTTGTCCATCGGCTGGACCTCCGGGCCAGGGCTGTCCTCCCTCTTCGCCATGGTGCCCACGGGTGGCTCCTGCCACTCACACCAGCCTGTACCCAGAGAGATGGTCAGCACCAGGGAAGCCAGCACTCCCCCCACCTGATCGCCACCACCCACAGTCCCTGAAAAGCACTAGCCCCGTCTCTTCCCTGCCAGGAATGGAGCAAGGTGAAGTAGGTAGACTGGGGGCCCTCCGAGCCTGCTGCTCTGGTCAAAAGCACAGGCATCAGGTTAGACGGGACTTCAAACCCAGCTCAGCCTCTTCCCTGCTATGTGACCTTGGACAATCATATATCCTCTTTGAGCTTCAGTTTCCATAATTTACAGTTATGGGTATATTAATCCCTACTTCAAATGGTTGTTTTGAGGATTCACACTTGTGTCCATCAAGTGCACGTACAAGGATGTGCATTTTCACTGACACACCCAACTTTATCTCCTTTGCCTTCCCTAAACCCTCCCCCAGGAGGCTTTTCTGATAGAGTGTCTCTCCTCTGGCCACCCGCAGCCCTTCTAGCTGTTCTCTGACCCACCTCCCAGCACAACTGCCCAGGGTCGCATTCTTCTCCACATCCAATCAGTATCCAGGTCTCATGGATTCTGCCTCCCAAGTAACGTATCCCCTTTACTCCAAATGCACAGATACCACCCTCAATTCACGCTGCCACCCATTCTCTTCAAGGATACAGCAACAACCTAACTGGTGTCCTGGTCTCCTTGCCTGTTTCTCATCAATCCCCCTTGCAGCCAGAATGAAGCTTCTAAACACAGATTCCATCTTGTCACTAACTCCCTGTTTAAATTCTTTCAATGGTTCTCCATTGTCCAGAGGACAAAGTCCAAACTCCTTAAAATGGCCAACAAGGCTTAGCTTTGTCTGGCCCATACCTCCCTCTACAACCTCAAATCTCATGATTCTGTGAGCAGTCACACTGGTTTCTTTCCAGTTCCTGGAAAACTCATTCTCTTTTGCTTCTGGGCAGTCACACATTCTGTTTCCTCTGCCTGAGATCCTCTTCTAACCCCTACTTTGTCTGACTAATTTCTCGCTTATCTTTCAGGTCTGTGTGTAAATGTCACTTCCTCCAGAAGGCCTTCCCTGATTTCCTGAGGTCTGGATGAGGTGCTCCACCTTTGCTCCATTCTGCACCCTATATTTTCTCCTTCTTGGCCCTTATATACTACACTGTAATTTTCTTGTTGTTTCTTGGTTTCCTCCACTGTATGCAGAGTTCTTGAAGAGAGGTATTGTATTTTATTCATTTTTAATCCTAGCACTTAGCACAGAGTCTGATATTAGGAATGATTTGTATTTATTGAAGAAATTCAGTAATTCAATAACTATTTACCAAGTGCCTACTTTGTACAGGCACTGGGGATAGAATGATAAACAGAACAGATATGGTCACTGTCCTTGTGGTGGGGAGGTGGTGACAGATATTTAAAAAGTAAATAAATGAATATATACATACATATATACATATGTATGTATATATATATATAACTACTAACTGGGGGAGGGGAGCGCTATACAGAAGAAAAGGATGCTATGAGAAAGTTATGAGGTTTCAGTTGGGTGATTGAGGAAGGCCTTTCCAAGCAGGTGACTTTTAAGCAGAGGATTGAGGGCTAGAAGGTAAATGGCAGGGATGAGGGTAGAGGCATTAGGGAGTGAGGGAGGGAATTTATTCCAGGCTGAAGGAACAGCATGAAGGAAAGTTCTTAGGCAAAAAGGTCATTGAGAACCCAAAAGGACCACATGGTTAGAACAAAGGAATAAAAGACTGGATGTAACTCTGGGAATGAGATGACAAAGGACCTTGATGTTAAGAATCTGGGTTTTATCCCAAATTGGGAGGGAAATGATGCAATTTACAAAAAAAATAAAAATAAATTAAAAAGCCATTCTGGTGGCTACGAGGATTGAAGAAGAGCCAGGTGGAAGCAGGAAGACCCCTTGGGAGGCTACCCCAGTTCTTTACATAGGCTGATGTTGGGTATTAGCAGTGTGTTAGTTGCTCAATCGTGTCTGACTCTTTGTGATCCTGTGAACTGTAGCTCTCCAGGCTCCTCCATCCATGGGATTTTCCAGGCAAGAATACTGGAGTGGGTTGCCACTTCCTTCTCCAGGGGATCTTCCTGACCCAGGGATCGAACCCAGGTCTCCCAGTTTGCAGGCAGACTTTTTACCATCCAAGCCACCAGCCTATAAGCAAAAAGGTATACTGAGCTGATAAATAACCATAAGGTTGACTCAAAAGGATATCACGATTGACCAGATGTGGAGGGGAAAGGAATAAGGAAATAAGGACTCACAGGTTTCTCCCCTGAGCAAATGGTGGACTGTGCCCAGAGACACTGAAGCTGAGGGACTGATTTGGGCCATTCCATTTTAGCCATGCTATATCTGAGATGTGATAACCAAGGTAGAGTTGCCAAGTAAGGAATAGAATATAGGAGCTCAAGGGAGATGTCTGGACTGGTTTTGGACTTGGAAGCACTGGCATATTAATGATACTTAAGGCAATGGTGGGGCTTCCCAGGTGGCTCAGTGGGTACAGAATCCGCCTGCAATGCAGGAGATGCCAGAGACTCGGGTTCGATCCCTGGGGTGGGAAGATCCCCTGAAGAAGGGCATGGCAACCTGCTCCAGTATTCTTTCCTGGAGAATCCCATGGAGAGAGGAGCCTGGTGGGCTACAGTCCATAGGGTCGCAAAGAGACACAACTGAAGTGACAGCATGCACGCATGCATGGCAATGATAATGGACGGGACCATCTAGAGACAGAGAGTGAAGAGTGAAGGAGAACCCAGAGGGATGGGAGGAAGATCAAGAGTGTATGCTGCTGCTGCTGCTACTAAGTCACTTCAGTCGTGTCCGACTCTGTGCGACCCCATAGACAGCAGACCACCAGGCTCCTCCGTCCATGGGTTTTTCCAGGTAAGAGTACTGGAGTGGGTTGCAAGAGTGTATGGGATCAAGGAAATCCAGGAAAGAGGGTGACTCAAGAAAGAAGAAGCAGTGAAAGAAGATAAAGACCGAGAGTATCCAACAGATTTGGATGTGGTGGAAAGGAAGGGGCAGAAGCCAAGTCAGAGTGATGGAAGGATGACTGGAGATGAAAAAGTTAACACAGTGGATGTAAACCATTTAAGAGAGAAACATGGCCATGAAAGGAGGCAGAAAGATAATCAGACTACTTCAAAATAGGCAGTGACGAGGAGCAGGCCATCCCTTTCTGTGCCCAGCTCAATGTAGCATGGGCCTCTCTAAAGACAATCAGTGAATGAAGAATGAATGAATGCAATGGGGCCAGTCCAGAGCCCTCTCCAGGTTTATGGAGGGGCAGGAGAGAGGCTTGGCTGCATGTGTCTCATGTTTATGTGAGATTGGGCATGGGTAGGGTGGAAGGCATCCTTGTGAGCATCCTCCCCTGATGCGGGCACTGGGATTCTGAGGTTCCTTCTCCAGATACGATGGGTTCTGAATCTGGAGACTTAATACAAAGACAACAACCCAGCAGGAAGAGGACAGATTGAGGGTTGGCGGAAGGAACAGGAGGCCAGGGTCAAGCTGATGCTTCTGTTTGGCAAAGGGGAGGGCTGGGAGGAAGAGTAGGAGTGGTCCACTGGGCCCTTCTCGGGCAGCTGGAAGTCAGGCTCCGCCTCTCTCCAAGCCCAAGGGGCTCTCCCAGCCTGTCACACAGGGGCGGGGATTGGGCTCCATCCAGGCACTGACAGCTCCTCCCTCCCTTCCCCTTCCTGCTTCAGTTCCCCACCCAGACGTGCTGGGCACGCAGCTGCTTAGGTCATACCCACTCCCCAGCACCCCCAGCCCCCGCCCTGGCCTAAATCACTAGGCTCTCTTCCTCTCCGGGGCTTCTACTCCACCACTCCCACCTCACTGCCCCCAAGGTCCTATAGGCCGTGGTTGAAATGAACTGTTTATCACAGCAGACACTTGGAAGATCTTGAACTCAGAGCTGAGATTTCATCCTGCTTCCTCAGGCTGCCTACTGCCATCTCTGCATCCCTTATCCTTCCCATCTTTTAATTGAGGTTCTAAAGGTTTCCTCTTTCAGCATTTATTCAGCACCTCTGCTAGATCTGGGGATACAAAGATAAATAGTCACAGCTTAGCCTTCGTGGATTTCACAATCTAATAAATAAGAATAGGTAGCCATTCCCTTCTCCAGCGGATCTTCCCAACCCAGGGATCGAACCCAGGTCTCCAGCATTGTAGGTGGATTCTTTACCATCTGAACCTCCAGGGAAGCCCAATAAATAGATTACTACAGTGCAATACGGTGAGGGCTATGATAGGGAAGGACAGATTGCCAAGAGTCACCTAACCTAAATCCTGGGCAGGGGAAGAGGGTACTAAAGGTTGGAGGTCAAGGGAATTCTCCAGAAGAAAAGGCCATTCAAGAGCTCCAGGATGGGTAGAGTTACAGAGAGCATGTCTTTTGCAACAGGAGACTGAATCAAGCACTGTGACAGGGGAGGGCTAAGAAATGAGATGGAGTGGTAAGCAGCAGTTAGATCACAATGTTTTGTTGGTCTTATTAAGGAATTTAGACTTTACCCTACACTGGTAGGGGGTTAAGCCTTTATCCAAAGAGCAAAGGAAACCTTTTAGAGGCAGGGTCGGGAGGTGGAGAGGGTTTAAGTACAGGGTGAGGGAGAGAAGAGAGTAAATTTTTGACTGCAGTGTGGAAAAAAGATGAAGGGTGTTACAAGTAGAAAGTTAAGACACTGCCATGATATTCTAGAGGAAAGATGAGAGTGACCTTGATTAGTGGAGTAGCAAAGGAGAAGTGAGAGAAGTGGATTTCATAGCAAGAAATCACAGAACTTGGTGACCAGTTATTAGATATGAAGAATAGAGGGAGAAGAAAGAATTAGAGATGATTCATAGTTTTCTAGCTTGAAAACTCTGAAAGCCAAGCAGTTTGAATGGAAGGGTGACAGGCTCAGTGTTTAGCAAAAGGAATCTGAGGTGCCTACGGGACTTT